TTTTTTTAGCGCATGATGCAAAATTTCACAGACGACAATGAAATAGTTCCGGCCGCATAAAACTGTTCATTTTGAGGCATAGGTACGAGGAAGAAAGAGTGATTGCTCGTCGTCCGCTGAAAAGATACTATCTTGCAAAAAATTATGTTTTTTGTTGAATTTTGATGATTAATTGAGGTACAGTTTCATTTAGAATTATAGTCACATCAGACACCCAAACGACCACTATAATAATAATAATAAAAACCAATTTCAGAACGATGAATTCTTTTGAAATCCTCCATTCTCCGTTCAGTGTAAAAAGAATGTTTTCGATATCATTTGTGATGTTAACAGCTCTCCACGAACCACGTCTTGGTGGTACTGATCATTTTCTGTTCACATTTATCAACGCGACTGTTTTCGTACAATGACTTATTCGAATGATTCATTTGACCTATTCACTAATCGATTCACTGCATGTCAGTGATATTATTTAATCCCCCAAAATTTGGCCACTTCCAATATTGAAGATCGGAAAGTGATGAAATGAATCTGTTAATAAATTACGTTTCGACATTTCAAAAATGTGTCTTCACTATTTCCTCTATTCAGTCTAAGACTTATTGGATGCATAAATCCGGTTATGTTATTTTTTCCATCTAAAAAATGCTGATAAAACGTGCACAAACTCATTCACTGCAATCATTCTACATTAATCTTATTCGTAAGTAATCTGTTTCACGTCTTCATGCAACTAACTCATCGCTGTTATCTCGTCGTTCGAATCAGACTCACCATTTCATCAGTTTCATTATGTCACTCATCAATTCTTTGTCAATTTCTCTTATATCTAAGGAACATTCATTTTGATGTTGATTGACACATCCACAAAACATCCTTTGGTAGTTTTGTGGAACGAGTTGGATTTAATGTTTGTCATTAATTTCATTGCAGCATCTTCGATCACGTATCAGTAGTTTTCCTGATTTCATCTTATCTTATTGATCTTTTGAGCGTTTGCACTTTGAAATTTTTACAGCACTTCGGGTTGACAATTCAGCTTATAAAACAATCAAATGAGAAATCGTTGTATTTTATTTTTACGAAATTATCGTTTATGATTTGATCATTCTTTGGGGAAGTATTGGTTACGATTGCTTTATCAGACAGCAACTGCTATCATCCGCAAATGGTCAACAAATAATTTTCATCACGAAAATTAGTGGTCAGGGAACGTCGGGTTATCAAGCCTTCTCAATGTTTATTTCATTTAGGGAAACTCATATTGAAGGGTGGCTTGATTTGGAAGCAGTGAGCTATTTAATGTGCCAAAATAGATCGTTCTTGAGTAAAATTAAGATTGCTGATTATTCATTTAGTAAAACTGCTTCAGTCTTACAGTTAAAATTGTACATTCAAATGATAATTGCATGCCTTCAGAATGAGCAACGTTTTACTGAATATTTATATTTGTACACTACTGCTGTTGTGCACCTCAATAAATGCGAAATCAGTGGCAAAAAACTCAATAATAGATGATGACATGAGCGCTTCTGAACTTATCGATAGTTTTTTGGAACGCGCCAAGACCAACACTGCACATCACCATCACAGATCACACAGGTTATTTCATACTCGTACATTTTTCGTTCTCTTATACACCTCTTTCTTCCATTACTAAAAATGTGCAGTGAAAATGTTGAATATTGCTTGGATAGTTTCGATTGTTTTTTAGTTGTGGTTTAACAGTCATCTAGAAAAGATGCATTCACCTGAAATTAAATGAAACCATAAAATCTGAAGCAAATGCTCATCTTAATGGATGTTTAAGACTTTGTTCAATTGTGACCATAGCAATGTACCTGCGAGCTGGCGTTTCTTATAACTCAGTGCTACTGTGATCCACGATAAATTACGCATTCTGGCTCTTTACTATTGTTGCTACGGTCACTCATGCTCTTTTTTATGTGCTTTAAGATGAACTTTTGAATTTTTTAATCATCGTAAAGGCATTCGCATACCGAATTTTAAAAATAAATAACTATGTGAATGAAACATTGTAGGCGTCACAAATTAGCAAATGACCGTGTACACCTCGTGGGTGTGGATAAGGATGGTCGTGAGTATGTGAACTGCGTCAAGAGTGTTAATGGAAGTCAAGCAACGGTAGCACTCCCGTCTTCTGATCATATCGTTGATTCTACTGTATATTTAATCTTTCCCGTCATTCAGCTGAAAGTCTCGTTTGTAGGCGTGATTCACTACCACCATATAGGAACAGGCATGCAATGCTCAATGGTTTCTGCTATTGCTAGCAGAGAAAGAGTGATCAAGTGATGTATGTATGATGGCAGTTTTATTGCAGCTAAAACGATGCTATAGGCCACAGTTTGAGGACATGCGAGTTGGATGTTACGTAGTATGGGATGTTAAAAAGCAGTTAGTGGTTCAAGATTGCTGGGTGCAGCAAGCGGTACGAACTAAATTTCATTGAATTCTTTATTAGTGCAATAAATGATACGAGAACTGAATAATCCCATTGAAATAATTTGTATTCTATTTGAAATCATTCATCTGATTACAGCATTCATCAAAGAAGAACCTTTCAGTCTGAAGTGCTTGACAGTCGTCAATCATAGAAAGTGATTTGAACATTTAATTAAATTCGTGATGTTAGCCAGAAAATTGAAAACGTTGATTAATATGTTAATTCGTGATGTTGTCCAAAATTGAGTGAATGTTAAAGCAAAATTAATAGTAAAAGTTGGGTACTAATGTTATCCAGTAATAGCATAAAGTATTATCATCCAGAAGGATTTATGATAATAAGTACTAATCATAATATGTGACAGATATCAATGAATAACTGCGAAGATCGACGATGCGTTGCGAAGAAGAGTACGTTCTGCTGTTGCTATGGGCATGGCTGCAATGAAGAATTCAATCTATCGAATAATTTATACGAAAGTTTATAGATTCGAATAGCTAACCGACACTTTAGGTATTTGTGGCTCGTTGATGAATATTTCCAGTCGAAACATATTCAGATTAATGAGTTTACGAGAAATTCACTTCTGTTAAATGCGAATACTAGTGATTGTCTTCAAATCAACGTTATTCAAATTTAGCGGTCAGTGATGCAAAAGTAACATTAGAGTGATGTGGTTAGCACCGTATACTATTTATTGTGTAATGTATAAATGTTGCTTTATCTATTACTATATTAATAATTATTTCCTGTACATTGGACAAATTAGATGTTTTTGATCTTGAATTTCATTTATCACATAATACATCATGAAACTTGGAACGATCATTGATAGGAACGAATTCATTAGAGATGAGGTTTTACAGTTGTTTTCGATAGACTGCTCTCAACGAATCTAGTGGTTGCAGGAATGTATGAAATGTCACTTCATCTAGAAATGAGGCTCATTAACGACGTTTGGTGATGTATTATGACTGATTAATTATTGTTATATGCTGATGACCAAGTAAATTGACTGATGATATTTCATCAGATTTATGATCATTTCAAAGCATTTCGGTTTGATTGGTGCACGAATTTTAGAATGATTCAGCGCTGGAACATTCATTATTTTTCTCAATCCTGTTTTGAGTTGAAAATAAAACGGAAGCGAGATATTTGGATAAGATATAGCTCATCGATATAAACAAAAATCACCATTTCTCTTCGAACTGAATCATTACAAATTTATTGGTCAGCCAAATGTTCAAAATAGAATTAATAGTTCAGTTATTTCCATGAACTTATTTCATTAATATTGAATATGCTTGCACTGTACAATATCGTACACTAGCAGTGTGTCTGTTGTGCTTCTCATCGTTCACCTGTAATCAAATTAAGTATTCTCGAAGACCAAATCCATACTTATTGTTAGAGTCATGCATTCCGGATGATAGCATTATTACCGTTATCATTTTTCATTACCGTAAAAAAATTCTTATTGGTACAGAAATAAATTTCGATCAAAGCAAACTGAATTTTATCATTTGACTGGTCTTCGAGTTGAACAAAATTAGTTGGGTTTTTCGAGAGTTAATGAATTGTATTTCAATTCGAATAGATATTCAGAGGTTGATATTACTCTTTTAAATCATAAAATTATGTATATTATCCAATATTGTTGTGCAACTGTTCATTCCCTTCATACCAATAATCTTGTGCAATGTTTTACGAACCATTTCTGAGCATATTTATAAAGCATAATTTCTAATATACCCATAATCAGTCTCACCTAAATCGAATCGTAAAAACAGTAATGGTGATCACAATAAAATATTTAGTTGATTAGTTGCTCATGTCAATAACGAGCACTTATTTGATCCTCTTCAACTTGAACACTAAGCACTACAAATTCGTGAGTAAAGAATAGTTTGTAACAAGTAAACTGATGGAATACTGCGATTCGGATGGATATGACTGTGGTCCGGTTATTTGTGTGACGACTTATAAGGTAACGAGATATCCAATCAAACAGATGAGTTTTATCAACAAACATTTTTTAAATAATATATTATATGAAGAATAGAAACGAAATTAGGAAAGAGAAGAAGATAAAGATAACGGTACATAATATGAATGATTGAAGAACATCACGCGAAATATTTCTGTAAAAGTATAAATAGTGTAAAGTTCATTATAATAAAAATACACTAGTTTAATGCTTATTGATTCCTACAAATGAAGAAAAGGACTGTGTGGATAACAGGAAGTTGAGGAGGTTCGGCAGAAAGTCGGGGATTGATCAGCTACAAAATTAGTCTGTTTGCATACAACAACCGATGATGATGACAATTAATACAACAAACAAACAAATAAACAAATAACAATCTCTCTGAACACCAACATATCAATAACGTACAATCTTCTCTAACCCAATCAATCGAAATACAACAATGTATTATACAATAATATATAATTATAATAATACATGGATGATGAAAATCAGTAAAAATTTATAAAAATAAACCATTAATATAGATATATTTATGTATGTACTTATAAAATTTAATACTCTACAAAACAAAAGCGAATGCAAATACGAATGAAAACAACAAACGAATTAATTCATCAACGATGATGAATTGAATGTTACGTGATGTTATATCTTATAATGAACGCCATCAAACAGCCAGTTAATGAATTAATCTTCAACAATAACGATAATCAAATTAACAAATGTGACTGTAATCAAATACACCAAAAATAAGGCGACCTACTGAGATGATACAAAAAATGAACAATAGTATGAGATGAGACAAATATGTGTGTATGTATGTAATAAGACTGTTGCTGCGAGTGAGCCGTGTCTAAAACAAAACAAACCAACCGACATATGTATATTTTCATAAAATTTACTGATATTATACAAATCAACATCAGAACACATTCTTAAAAATATTCGATCGTAATCATCAACAACTAAAAACCAGTTATCATCCCATTTTCTTTGCCTTTACTAACCACAAAATACGCCAATTTCCGATTCGTATATGAAAATAGCAAATAAATCACAACGAATGAAAGCGAATCAAATAAGGAGTCAGCCCATCTTACAACCATAATTTACGTTACTCCCAGGGGTATTTATCAGTGAATATGATTATAATGAATTTTTTTCAATTACCACACTGAAAACGCTTTGAATATTTATTTCATGCGAACCACTCAGTAGAAATGTCAACAAAGAGAGGCTTTCAATCACGAGATGTGAACGTGTTACCGAACCGAAAATTAAAACTTGAATCAGTGATCTGAGGAGCTTTTGAAATGAAAAGACCAAAGTGAACCTACAATCATCAGACACATAAAATCCTCCAAAAGCTGGATAAGGTTGTGGGATTAAGATGAGATCAATAGTAGAACTTATTCTAATCTGATCTCATTCCAGCTCAGCATTCTTCACAAATGAATATTCGAATAATCACATATACATATAATTGAAGTGAGAACGCACACATCAATTCCTATTCTTTTTGACTCGTCAATCTTCTGGTGTTGTTTTTTCATGATTGTCCAGTTATTACATAATGTACACTGAACGTATTTCATCGAATGCAATTTTACGAAAACGATACATTTCAGTCTGTCCATATCGATACGTTCAGCGAGGAGCATCGATGCTTAATGATTCGGTGAATGGATGCTTTGATGCTAATATTCAACAACTCATCCGCGTTCTCAACTCAAAAATTGCATTCGAACATTCGACGTTCAGAGGTAAAAAACAAACAAACAACATACAACAATGGACACCGCGCGGATTTAATCACTACTTTTTACAATTTGCATAATAAGCAGCGAATAACGACTGATCGATTAACTGAACGAAATATAATATAAACCAATTCACAGTTTGAATGATCAGTTTTAACTGTGACGTTCTGGTATGTAGCATAGTCTGTGTGCTTCATCACCTGACGCAAAGTGCCAATTCTGAATATTCACTGTTTTGCGGGGACTCCATCAGTTTCAATCATAAGGGCCATTGGAATTTATGAAAAATTCATTACAAAACAAAACATTAGTTGAGATACTAGATGATGCATACTAGGAGAAGTAATAATCTTAATTATGCATTCGTTTATCCTACTTTCAATTGTAATTTCAAATCATTCACCATAATGCGAGATAATACTCGGATGGGCTACCCAATGGAAGGGCGGAATACAAACGTATTAAAAAGCATGGAAATTGCCAAAAGCTGCAAGCCAAGATGACGTAATGATAAGAAATGAAGTAACAAGGGTGATAGTTATGAGAATAACGAAAGGTACAAAAAGGGGAGCAATGCTATAGGTATACATATGCACATATATAACAATTTAATACAGTGTTTAAACAATACCAAGAGGCCATAACAAAGTGATAATTGTAATACGTTCCACAATTTCGCATATAAAAGCGTATTCTCAATACCATTTCAAGTGCTTTACATCTAATCGCGAATGTACACCTTTACTCCTTACATCTAATCAACGCTTTTCCGAACAGAATGTGATGTTAAGATGAATGCTGAATTCGAATGAACTCAGAATCAACACCACTGATGTCCCTCATAAAAAGTACATCACCAGATCTGAATCCTACTCACTTATGCTGAAAGCTTATATACCAACTACTCAAAAAGGGCATAGCATTAAACCGATAAGCGAATAACTCAAACACAAAAGTGCATAATTCATGTGAAACGCAACAATCATACTATTCTAGAACAAGAGCTTTGCTTTTGAATACTACAACAAAATTTATAAAATATAATTAATAAATAAGACAATATTTGACAACAATATAAAATCTTTAAACACAGTGAACTGAACCGTCGAATGTTGTAGTAACAGAAAGTATTATACAAGGAGCCGTAACTTTCACGATTAGATCATCTTTAACAATCAGCTAATTCAATTACTCAAGTCAACAGAATTCGAAATAATAATAACAACAAGCGAACACGGCCGACGTATACGTATGCATGTGAGAGGTGAGAATGAGTGTGCCATATAAAATGATAAGATACGATAATCGCAATATTCCATTTCTGACTGATCTTTTTTTTCGGACTGATTGATACTTACACCACTTTACATCATCTGGACAGAAGGAATTACCGAATAATCTGGTTGAGTTATCGGCAATCCACCATTCTGTTTTTGGAAGTATTTCTCCAACTTGGCTGAAACATAATACATGACAGTACAGTTATCTGGTACTTGTTTTGATGAATTTCAATGAATATGGATGAGGAAAGCGAGCCGTGAACAGTTAAAGGTGATAAAACCCACTGATGATGTGCTTTCCATAGTTGTACTTTCTAAGTGCTGGGATATGCGGCTTTATAGCCAGCATCATCTTTTTACGATGTGCACTATCGGCCACATCAAGCATCTTTTGCACTACGTAATTGGCGAACTGATCTTTCATCATCATCAACAATGGCGTTGACATTGTGCTGCAACAATAACAACTGATGACTCTATCACTGTTCACTTCAGATTCATTCAATAATAACCCTTTCCTTCTGCACCCAAACTAGATTATAAGGCATGCCATCCTAATGTTCGAATAAAAGTATATTTAGGTAAATGAACTAACTCGTTTGGGTTGCCACAGACTTCAGTGATAAGAGAATTTTTATGATGAGGAGCACCGCACGTCAAACATTTCTCAATGACATTCGATGCGAATTTGTGCTGTGCAAAACGAAGAACATCACCCTGAAATCGGTAGCTAACGTAACGTATTGAATGTTAAAAACATCAGCAATAACAACATTATAACTGTATCAATCATTATAACGTTTCGTCACTGTACTTTTTTATCAGTTTCTTAGAAGTTTTCAGGCATGACTGAGTCTTCCTTCAGCAGCTGCCTTCCATAGCATTTTTTCTCTAAACCTGAAACGTTTCGTAATAGTGGGAATTTGGTCGCCGTAACGCATAGATGTCACCAAGTCTCGTGACCTTTTTGCAGATACGATGTTTGATGGAACTCCCTCCCAAGTGCACCCTCATGACACGGTCTGATCCTGCTTATTTGGTTGCTACTAACCCTGTCTGAAAACGTTCTCCCTACTCATCATCTAAGGGATGGGAGGAGGAGTGGACAAGCGCATAACAATGATAATAATAACCTTAATTTGATTAACAATACGATCTCGATCCTCCATTGAGCCATGTTCAATGACATGCTGTATAACGTAATTACCATACTGATCAACCACCAACGTCTTAATATGCATGTGCAACTGATCCAATACTGGTCGTTTTTGCTCTTCAGTGCAATGTTCCAAAACACGTTGAATAACACGACATCCATATGGGTGCGTTGAGAGATTACATACCTTTAATTGAATCAATTACCTACTTATTCATAATTCATTTATTCCACATCCCTCTATTACGACTCATCGTTTCTTATTACATAGAACATTATTCACTGCATTTGGCTCAATTGTTTGATCGATTTTACATGAGGCTGATACCTCACATCATCTAGGGGATGGGAGGAAGAGCTATTTAAAAAATGAATGAAACAATACTGTGAGATTATCTCCTGGTTGTACAAAGGCATCGATAATAAATTGCAAACGAGCTGGATCAACACGTTCAATCACTTTCTGTACTACATGATTTCCATTTTGATCTTTCACACACTTCAGCACCTTAAATAGTCCACTGAACGACTGGTTTTTGAATCACTTTGAACCGATAATTATAACAGCAGTACAAATAAACAACGCACTGCATTGGACAATACAATCTCGAAACCAACTATACCTGTCCTTCCATTTCTTTCAGGATTTCCATCTGCTGATCAGGTTCAATACTTTCAAGCGCCTTTTGAATAACACGGCATCCATACATTTGCAATGCAAGATTCATCACGTTACCCTATCGAAACAATAAGTTACATCCACTCCATTAGTTATAAATCTGCTTTCCAAGAAATTCCGCTCCAATTTTTATCTAATCACTGGTTTTTCAATCAATTCATTCAACTCAATTATTCATGTTTCTTCTGTATGAAAAATCTCGGAAATTATCATTTTTTGAGATTCAATTTTGATACGAAATAGATAAATAAGGATTTAAATACACAGTTCCAGAAGAATATCGAAGTAATATCAGCAAAGTAATGTTAAAACAGCAGATCGAATAGCAAACCTTAATGGCATTTGTGAGTTGATTTTTTTGTTCAGGAGTGCCATATTCGAAAAATTTTTGGATGACATAATTGCCAAAAACATCAGTCATGAGTGACTGTGCGTGTGCAGAAACCTCATCGAACACCGCTTGCTTCTCTTTGACAGTAGCTCGTTCCAGCTTTTGTTGAATGAATCTGAACAATATTGTATTTTCATTTACAACACAACTATTAAAACTCAACTGAATCATACACCTGGAATGACCATTCCTTATGACTTATTATTATTATTAGTACATATAAAATAGTAGAAAGTGAACACGCAAAATCAATAAAGCTGGTGCAGCAATATTAAAGATAAGAAATATTTCAAACGAATGACAAATCCTCTCAGAGAAGAGTGAATGAAAGAATGACCGTGATCCATGTTGATCTTGTGCAAATTCGACCACATGACTACCCAAATCAGATAATTGCAGATGTGGGTTTCGATTATTTCGAAAATCATCCAACAAATGTGAACGATTTTGTCTATCTGCATCGACACCAATATGACCACCTAGAAATATCCAAATACAATCATTTATTAAGTGAAAATCTGCCAGACGGGACGGAAATCCTTCTCATGTTTCAGCCAAGAAATGAATGTTTTGTTAATTACACACACCAAAACAATCGCTACTCATCTCAATCGGGGTTAAAGCTAGAGTTTGTGAAATTCCGATCAGTGTTCAGTCACGAGACCAGAACACGAATCCTGAGACCAGGATTCCAGATCTCACGCAAACACTAGTCAAGGTGCATTCAGAAAATGCTACAAACTCATTGTGAAGTTTAACAAGTTATTATTCACGTTCGTTCATCAAAAGCATTCCATTGAATTAGATAATTTCAAATCACTGCTGCCAATAAAGCACATCGAATCGATGGATACGAACAACATCAGCCGTAAATCACAAATGAAAAAAAACATACCAATAGCAGAAGGATTAGGACGTGATGGGTTGATATTAGTGGTGATGGCACGTCGACTTGTATGAAGATTAAGATTGTTGAGATTAGTACTGAAAGGAAGTTGAGTGATGGGGTGATGAGAAGGTTGAGCCGTTTGTGCGGCTTGCTGAGGCGGATTATAGATGGATGATCGTGGTTGCGTGCCAGATGGCGCTTGCATCAGATTGGCCGACGAGGTCGCGAACATCGACGAGCCGTTGTATGCTGGTGGAAATGCATTACCTTGAAACAATCATTCACTCACATCATTCCTACATAACAATTATTCTTCTTCTTCTACAATTCGAAACACTATAATGATGCACATATCAATCACTCACTTTCAAACATTCGCCACAAGTTCATTTCAAATGTTAAAGCGTGATGAATAAAAAACCACAGCGACCCCTCAGTTGAAAAAATGAAATGAGCAAACCGAAGAAATTAGGACTTGATCCAAGTGAGCCAGTGGGTGGTGTCTGTGGGAAGTTCATGAAGAGATATTGGTGTGCAGCCGGTTGCATTCCATACGTGGGCGTACCAACCTGATGACCATTGGAACTGAATGAATCGCGTCTTGTGGAGGCATTGCCCCCCGGAGGTGCGATTGTAAGCGATGAAAGTCCCGAGGTAAGATGATTCATTGACGGTTGCGGATAACCAACTGGGAAGGGGAAGGCGGTCGGTGGTGACGACGAATAGACCGCTGATGAGGGTGTTGTTGCCTGTGGTGCTCCTGAATTTTTGAATCGATCATAGGGTGTATGTGTGAGATGGATCTGTTGGCTGTATGAAAATACTCACCAGTAATATTTCCGTTTGGAGTGAGCGTTGGGTCCGAGTTCGGTGGTAAAGCGGCGGGTGCAGGAGTGCTGTTGTAGACAGCTGTCCACGAGCCATAGCCATATCCAGTTGGAGTCGTCCCAAATCCAGCTGCACCTTGCAATGCACCTCCCGCGGCTGTATTTGAGTACACAATCGAACTCGGCTGCCCTTGCAGCATATAAGGATACTGAAATCAACGTTACCAATAAACACATCAAATCGCTTTTCACCCCATTCAAAATATGAAAATCTTCCATTTAAAAAAAANAAAAAAAATTGATCCATTCATATGAACTAAAACGGTTCATAGTGAACAATGTGATTAATATTCACTTGTCACTTGCACAACTGGCTACTCGACATGACATGACTAAGATATCAACGATATTCCAGCAATACTTTTCGAGAGAAGGATCATAATTCGAAACAGTTGAATGAAAATGTAGACACATCGCAGTTATTTCTCAATCAACATTTGCTGTTCGATAAGTTTCGAAGATGGATATAAAAGCTTCGATAAAGAATCACATTCAAATTTAATAAATCTGGTAAAAGACACATCAAATTTCTACTAATAAAAACAGTGAAGAAGAATACCTGCGAGCAGCCGAGAACAGTCGTGCAGTAAGAACAAGAAGTGTAAAATGTAGCAGTGGTTATGGGAATTTGAATGATAAAACGACGGGAATCTGAGTTGGGAAACGTCTTCGCTAACCCTTTAAGAGGGAGGGAAAAGCGAAGAACGAATGAGACAACAAGAAACGAGTGCGACAAGCGGAATAAGGTGCAACAAGGATGGCTATAAATGTACCGCGAAGGTAAGTATCACCAAAAAAAACTATGCCAATAAACAGTCAGATCAATTCTCCTCGAACTGATCAATCAATCAATGCTATCAAAACAACACGCCAATAACAAGTAAAAAGCAGAGAAATAAACACAAAATACCCCAAAACCGAAGTGATTTCAATTGGATGCAACGACAATAACGAACATGAAAAGATGCAGCACGTTATGAAGCGGTATCGTTACCCAGCGCTATCGCTTTCCTTCTCTATCTCTACATCAATTCATCTATCTCTTAATGAGTATGCAATTCTGTATGTGTTGAATCGTTCCTTATTGCCAACTTGTTCACTGTTGCTTGTATATATCTATACATACCATTGCTCCTGCTTTCGTACATTGCGTTCCTAGTGAAAATTGGGATAGAATAGTGCATCCACATTACATCATATTACGTTATCTATCGCATTCTATCAACATCATCACCAACAATAACAACCATATATATTACAAGCTGACAATACAATGACAATAATTAACAATAACACTACCGGAAGTATTAGACTGACAAATACTGAACCACTGTATGAACTAGGAAACAGGCTGATCAATCGTTAAATAAAATGCAACTCAAAGTGGCACTGGAGGCATTTCTTTAATAAATAAATTCCAAGGGAGGTGCGACTGTGCGTCAGTGATAAAGCTTGAAATGAGATGATTTCGAAGTGAGATCAGTGAAACGATTGATGCTTTATTCGATGTTTAGAAACTTAACTCAATCAAGGAGCAGCAAAGCAGTAACTGTTAATCAGTGAAAAATAGTATTTTTATGATAGCACTCCATCAAAATGACTCAAATTGACCACTGAAATCCAATTTTTAACGGGAACTATTTTACGGATCTAATGCAAGCAGCTCATTATCATGTGATATGAATGATACAGTCCGAAAAGATACAAATGATTAAGAGGTGTTAGCATAACACAGTGATGACGCTTTCTTGTACTCTACACAAAATATATTACACATTTTTTGTTATTGATCTCTTGAACAAAATTCAATTCAATTATGCAATATAATGCATTCACTCAACTTAAACAGCTCTATGTCAATGTACTTAACAGTCACCAGTATTAGACTAACAAATGTAAAAAGACTGAATGGACTAGGATACAGGCTAACTAAAGATCGGCGTTAAAACATAATAGAGGAATGTCTTATTATTCATCCATCGAACAACACACGGAGTGTGGTTAAGATGATTTGAAGAGAGATGGATGGATGGACAGGCATATGGAATTATTTGAATATATGGCATCGATCGATCAAATACCAATCAGTAACTCTAAAAGCTAGTTTGTTACCGCTTTAAGTTCCTTTTCTTATCCGATACTCGCTTGGAATATATTTTTTTTAAAAACAGGTTTGAATTTCGCTCGTAGTACGCAATTATGCCTACTTGATATATTTATACCAGGTTACGTAATGGATCTAATAGAGCACTGCACGATATAATTTCATCAATTTGTTGTTAAATGCATGGCTAGATGTATTTCTAGCAACATTTCTTGCAGTAGGAAACTTTTTGACAAGTACGACCGTATGTATGACTGAAAAAGTGTAAGAAAAGCAACGAGACTGAGATATTTGTGAGGAGGGTGTTTTGGAGCGGAGATCAATGTGGCTGCGATGAAGAGATAGAATTTTAGCGCCATATCTGGTAAAGTGACGATCCAAAAATGAGCATCATTAATGCGTTAATCAGAATACAGCTCGTATGATGAACAAGCCAAACTGCAGTATTGTCGCTGTCTTTTCGAGTGTGCAACTTATTTCGTGTGGTTAAAAATTCGGTACAATTTCATTTCCCTACTAGATCAAACTGAATAATGAGTAGAATTGAGAAGTGCTTACAGAAACGAATGAGCAAACTTATAATTTGACAAGCTACGATGATTGAAATATGATAAAAGAAGTAAACTAGCTAATGCAATGGAAGGCCTAAGAACCAAACACAACGGAAGAAAGGAATCATAATCATCAAGTTCAAAATGAGAATCAACTCAAATAACAAACCTGAAATTCTGGTGTCGTCCCCAAGGGCAGTATCTCATTGGGTTGTTGATAGGGCAACGGTAAGAATGGACCTGATGCTAACGAATCCACTGTCTCATTACCAGATTTACTCGACTTATCATCACTTTTCTCCACTAACTTACCATCATCCAGTTTCACCGCATTCGCCTGAATAATCGGAATATTTATTGAATAACCTTCGAATTCGAAATCATTACATTCGAATGCTCATATATCCTATAATATATTGTCCGAAAGTCAGCTTACTTCAGACTAATTCAAATCCTACTGACTTTTATTCTCCTTATGTTCTCAATTTATCTAATGATGCAATTCCCTAAAATACGATAGCATCTAAAACAATGCCAATATAAAATGTTACTTGAATATTTTGGAACGAGTTGCATACTACCAAACGCTAACTGCAGTCAAGAACTGACTCGAATTTTCACCGAAAATTTCTATACTCTAAGGAGGAACGAACTAAAGGAAAATGAAGACCTTGAAATTTGAATACTACAGAATGAAACAAATATCAGCGCTGAAGGAGGCACTTCTTAATGACGTTATTTCGAGAGGAATCTGTTAGTTGCTTCACACTTCTCTGAATGCATCAGTGTAAGATAATAAAACAAATGAATGATTACAAATTTCGCATCGCTCGCATTCAGACTGCCAGGTGATGAACCAAGAACATTGGCGATCATCTGCGTACAAAGTGAATTTTCGCGTGGTGATAACACTGAATTTGCGACACTCATTCCACCACTTCCTTGCACCATTATTGGATTGCTGACTGCGTGTTCTTCAAATTATATTCATTGAATACCAACGACTGCCAATTACACAAACCAAATGATAATAAAACGTCTTATCGTTCTGATAACAACTTCACAAGATCACTGAATATTGTTCACCAGAACGTCGACGCAGCACATCAAATATTCAAACATTTTACAAAAATTTGCAATGAATATCCTCCTAAGAATTTTTAATGGAAATTTATAAAGATACAATAATTTAGCGTGATCTCATGTTAGTCAAAAATGATCACTATTCACTGATAATAAAACAGTCTCAGCCGTGAATTTATCCATTCTTTGAATTTTGTTATAGATTCTCGATTTGTCATTATCGTATGTCATGATGCTAATTTCCTAAATATTACAATTCTCTAAAAAGAAATGATCAATTTAGTGATCTACCAATACAAATGGCTTTCAGTAAAGCGCCGTGATGAATAAAAACAAAACCTGATCGTGTATTGTTCCAAACACCAGGATACTGAGTAGACCACTGTTGTTCAGCCATTGCCATTACTTTTAATATATGGAACAATAGAATGAAGAAAGAATTTTTACAACAATTTAAATAATAGATGTACAAGCGCGATGCAGTTATAATACACTACTATACAACTCCTAAAATGAATTGAAGTATTGTACTACTGGACCATTTAAATTCGTTCGATTCACGCTGAATCGAACGAAACCAATACAATAACAAGCGCTGTTTCGGGGCCGCTCCATATCAACAAAGGACTACGCTAGGGTTTCGGCTAACGATTCCATCCAATATGATGGGGCTTACACACGGCCTTCGGCTCACGAATGATCGCCCGTAGGAATCTGAACGTGGTGGCACCCCGAAACAGCACTAGCACCTAACACGTTATATAACTGATATCAATCAACGAATAGCTGACTGAATTATTTTGTTTTCGACTGATATCAACGCGTCCCTAACAAACAACAATACAAATGGAAGTTGTTATGAAATTTGTATGAATGTTCAAATGAATCATTTCAATGACAAATTTGAAGTAAGATACGTCCTACTTCAACGAGGTGTGTTGCTAGGAACATCAGCGATATAGTCTGCTGGTAGGGTCAAACTTCACAAAATCGGATCTCTCGCTGAAAACTCAACGAAACTCAGTCATCCTTCCATAAGCGCTCGTCAAAATGGCAAGTTAAAGTGTTCAAGTCAACAAATGCTCAGTGTCATATTAATCTATACCAACAAACTTAATAAATAAAAACTCAAAAACAAGCAAGTTTTCTCAAAAAAGACACGAACAAATTTGAACGTGACGATGATCGAGCGAGCACACTTTGTCGATCGCTCACGATGTTATTCCCAAAACTCCTCACTGAACTCTCTAAGTATTCATCAAAATGGTGAAAGATTCATCAGTTCAATAAGTACTCACATGATTTCACGATATGATTTCTGGCATTTGCGAAATAAGAGGAGCGCTCTATGGAAGTTTTGTATTTCTGAAACAAATCACGCCTTAATTAAAGCGGATATGTAAATTTCGCAAAAGATATTAACGATTATGAAGAAGTTGGCACTAAAATAATACTCTGATCGTCTGCTCTCCATTTTGGCGCCCATTATTAAACACACTCTCCTTCTGAGTATCGCAACCAGACAATGCACTTTTCCTGAGAAATTATTGCTAGGCAAGAAGTGTATTTGAATTGGTATACGGTTATTTTCGTTTGAAAATACAACTCGCAATGTTTGGAGCTAAAAACTAATGAGAACGAGATCAGATGGTTTGTAACAAACCAGATGAACAGTTCCTACAAAAGCAGTCGTATTTCACTGCGATTTCTTCTCGATAAGGTTTCGAACCTAATGACCTTCATCGCTGATTTTTTTGACACATCGCTCCCACATCATGCAATGTTCCCAGTACGTTTTCCGGATTATACAATAAAAGCACTCTTGTTGTTCATTTTGGAACGATTTGACCTCTCTAAATCGGATCGCCCTTCGCCACTGATAGTGATATCATGGCTTCATCTCAACCAAACCACTGCAAATTCGGGAGACTGACTCTAGGGTAAGGACGAACGAAGAAATATTGTAGGATTGTAAAAATCATCTCGCTGAATTAAACTCAGCCTCAGTTTGAGTGTGAATCTTAGTGTAAGCCTGAGCATGGGCTATAGCTAAAACCTGAGGCGAATGAGGCGAATTTGCAACCGGTTGATTCCTGCATGAAATATTATAGTACCGTCCAGATGAAGTATGCATGACACTGAGTCGATACCGTAGTTCAGCTCTAGTGTGATATCTGCGTATGTATTCGCAAACGCTCAAATGTTTGAGGTCAAATAGCTGATTGTGAGTGTTTAGTGTGGCCTGATAACAGCTACAATGGCGTGCAGAAAGAAAAAAGGAACTTCCTGATTAATGAATTGTGTTTCATAAAAGGTTACTAAACCTTTTAGTAACCTTTAGTAACCTTAAGGTTACTAAAAGGTTTAGTAACCTTTGATATGAACTTCGCAGTGGATCTAGAAAGTTGGCTTTGACTACGATCCTGTAGAGTCGAGATGCTGAACAATGGCTCGATACAATTCTTCCTCGTAGAGCTATTTGATATCATTATTTCCCTTGCTAATATTCATCACCAATTCTACTGGAACATTCGATAACTTCAATAATTCATTCTAATGAATGAAGGAGCACTGCGGATTCTTTAATTCGGTAGAGAGCAGAAGTTTAATTACAACTGAATTTTTAAGTACCATACTTGTTTTCAAAGATTGGCAATGTTCGAGAGATTACATCTTAGGCTGACGTTGAGTTGGGCATTTACTTCATGCCTTGAGTTAAGTTGAGCTGTGGTTTGGTTTATTCCTAGAAATCAGGCCTTTCTTTTAGCTATTTTCTGGCTTACGATAAGTTGAGTTTGGAATCGGAAAATTAAAATACATATTACATATTATATCGCAAAATTACATATTATCATGCAT